CCCCAAATCCTGCGTCTCCTGCCCCCCCACTCCCTCATAGCCTTTTCTTCACTCACCGGTGGTCCCAGGCATCTGGCTCGCTTCATGAAGGCAGAGCTCACGTTTCCTAATAGCAAAACATGTGACGCTGTACGAGTGTTTACAAGGAAGTCAAAGCATTTTAACAAAACCAGCTGACCCCCCACCCCCACCCCGGCCCCGAAAAGGACTTAGGCCAGTTTAAGCCAAGGAAGCACACGGCCACGCTCACCCAGCAGCAGGGCATGGCTGCGATGGGCAGCCCTGCGACATCCACAGGCAGACGGAGGGGGCTGCGGAGGGGCTGCAACTCCTCGCTGAATGAAAGGCACCTACTAATAGAAATACATACACACACAAAACCAAAACCACCTGCTTCCACAGCGCTGATGTTAAGGCCTTGTGCTGAAGGGATGGTATATACAGTTGGGAGGGAATGGGCTTATAAGGAAAAGGGACCAGTCCATGGGGCCCAGATCAGGAGAGCAAAGCTGTAGCAAAGGGCTACTGCCATATACCTCTGAGTAAAATTTTGGCTCCTTAATCTTAGGGAAGCAAGCTGGGAGAAAGCTGCAGCCAGTCCTTGCCAACAGAGCATAAAGTTTAGCTTCTTTCCAGTTTATTTGACCTTCACGGCCAGCGTATGAGAAATTAACAGTAAGACTCCAAAACTCCAGCCTCTACCTTTTGCAAGACGCTCAGGAAGATGATTCACTGCTGTCTCAGGTTGCAGAGAGCCAAAACATCTCAGGACCCAGAAACCACCAGCTCGAGCCTGGCAGCTGGGGGAGGCTGTTTGCCAAACCCGCCTGGCGAAGGCTGAGCATCGGCACAGCCCGTGCCCAGGTGGCCACACTCCACGTCTGGGTAGTGGCCGTGTACTGCTGCCCCACAGAGAGGAATATGAAGGGAACCTTTCAGGGCTAAAGTACTGGCCTGGTGCAGCCTCTCTCACTAACCTTCACACAGTGGTTTGTATAAGCTACACATTTCATAGCTCAGCAAATCAGAAGGCCAAACAGCCCAAGCTCCCACTTGGTGCTAGGGCTGGGCTGCCCACACGGTTTTCCCACTGAGAAACAACTTGCAAAGAGGCAGAGTGGGAGGCCAGGTCCTGCAGTCCGCCCACTGCAGCACAGGCAGCCACTTTGCTGTCAGGAAGGCAGGGGTTTCTGCTAAACCACACAGGACAGGAAGAACGTGATGAGCAAGACACCCTTCACAGGCTCCACTCGGACATTTGCCAAGTTTTGTTGTGTCCGGCTAAGTTTCATTCCAGGGGACTGCTGGGTTCAGCACGCTTAGAAAACAGCGTAGAAGGGCATGAACGTCTTTAGAGGTCCACCCAGGCTTGCAAAACACAGCTGGAAGCCTGTGATGGATCCCTGCCCTGAAAACTTCATGCCTGCATATGAAGCATCCCAATATCCAAAGACAAAATTCCAGCGGGTACGGGTGGAGGGCAAAAGGGAGAGCACCAGCTTGGGATTCCTCAGCACTGAAACCCTTGCTGTAACATAAGCAATGCAGAAGTTCCTACTCCAGCAGTGGATCACAGCAGACAGCAATCGCAACCATCAGCAAACATATTTCAAGCCAACCTGGTTAATGGAAACTGAAATGTTATTTTACCTGATCCAATTTGCTCATCTAGAGGCAAGGAGTCCATCAGCTGAAACAGCAAGTTCTTGCAGCTGTTGTAGTAGCACTTCTCTCTTTTGAAGGCAACATACTCATTTTTAACACCACATTCAAGCATGCTGAATGTCGCACGACTGCCAGAGCGCAACCAGGGGACTGATGCCTCTGGATATTGATATCCAGGGACAACTGCTTTTCTAATCCTTCGGCAAAAGGGAAAAGAAAGTGTGACCAGAACCAAAGAAATCAGGCAGGCCTTCCCTACCCTAATGATAAACGTGAAACTAACTTCCAAGGGAAGCCATGGCCTTTTCTTCTTTTGAGATCTTTGTGGGGTTTTTTTGGACTCTCCCCATTCCCGAACATCCTCCCTCAACCATAACCCAGGAAAACTGTAAGAGACAGACATACAGACATGGGGCCCCATACAGAAACCACTTACGAAGCTGGGCTGTTAATGTGGTGGTCCATGGACAGACTGAAGCCACCGGCTGATGAAGGCCACTCCATCACTTTTAGGACAGCCACCCCACTGGCTCTGAGCTGCTCTTCTTTCAAATCCTTGGAAGAGGAATTGGGATGCAAAGGAAAAGGCTTTGGTAGGAGAAAGGATGCCTTTGGTGTAAGTTAAATAAGGAGGACAAACCTCCCCAAGCTCCAAGGGGGATGGTGGAGATGGCTGGGCAAGGGTATTTCACAAGTATGGAGGTAGGAAAGGGCAGCACTGACCCTGCCTGCTCAAAGGGCACGTTCCCTCCCCCCGGCCAGGGCACACAGCAGTCACGGCTCCATCATGTTTGAGCAGGACATTGAACACGGGGCACTTTCCAGTGCCTTGCTCAGAAACAGAATGAAGAAACCTGATGAAAGGGCAAAAAAGAGCCATGCAGACAATGCAAAAGCCAGACTTCACAGTTCAAGCAAGAGGTTTACAGGGGCTGACCCATTCGATCTGCCAGAAAGAAGGCAGATGGGTGTGTGATGGCACCTTGTAACACACCCTTGTGCCATGGATGGATGGGGATTAGAAAACTGCACACGTGGGCAAAGGCGATGCTAAGCCCCGGCTGCTCAGAGGAGGAAGCAGCAGCAAAGTCTCCTGCTCATTTCCAAGGCGGCGCATAGGCAAGAAAAGAAGCTGTTTGGGAATTCAGTGTCATTTTCAGTTTGGCTTTTATTTTCATTGACTTCAACAACAAGGTGTTCCAAAACACACACAGGTCTTGGTGCAGGCAACACTGTCATTGCTACAAGCATTGGCAGATTCTCAGCTCAATTAACCCATACGCTTTGATGTATCAAAACAAAACAAAACAAAAAAATCACAGCTCTACAGGGGAGGGTAAAAGCTACAGCAGTTCAAACTCACTTGAAGATTCCAGTTATACAGAAGTGGGCTCCATAGTGGTATACAGTAGAAAGAAGGTTTTCACAGCATATATTTTAATCATTAGTGATGCAGCAGAAAAGCTCCATCTCGCTGCTGAGTTGGAAAAGCAGATACGGAAGTTCTTGCACCCAGACTCTGGGCACAGCATTAACTGCATTAACCTTTATAGTCAGAAGCTTCCTAGTTCCTAAAATGATGGTATTTTTGCATCAATATTTGTACAATACTGAAGCAGCTCAGAAGGATTACACAACGGAGATGCAACACCTTGGAGGTGAGAAGGGCACAACGTAGTTCACCTCCAGGAATTTGCAGAGTACCCACGCTAAGACTTTCCCCGCACTAACACTGCCCCGCTGAATTAATTCTTGCATCGAGTCAAGAGCAGGATGACTCGCTTCTTTCGTAGCATATAGAAAAGAAAAAAAGGACATAGTAAGTTTTCACACTGAGCATGTTAAATACTTTGAAATCTAGGACGCTGCTCTTTGAAGTGTTACAAAATAAAATGATAAAACAGGCTTTCAGTACCCCCCTCAACTGCAAAGTAACACAGGAATCTCAGTATGAAAAATACAAATATATTTGGTCCAGTGACAAGTCATTTGTTACAAGGTATACTTTAAGCATTCGGCATAAAAATAATAATTAAAAAAACAGAAAAACAAACAACATTTTATTGTGGTTCTGTCAGACCCGGTAGCCCAAGAAGAAATAAAAATTGGCATGTTATGCTGTAGGAAACAAAAATTACACATACAAAAAAATATTTATATACACACACTTTACAGGGTAACCATCTTGCATTACTATTTAGAGCTATCCAAAATAGGCTTGCACAGTTACCGAAAGGCAGTCTTTGAATGCAACATAGACCTGGCACAACAGACAGATGGAGGAGGATGCTAACAATATCAGACTTAAATGAAATACGTGGTACACAGCAGGGACAAGAAAACAGCCACTGCATTGAAACGAGATTATTTGGTTGTAGCAAGGTAGGATGACAAGTCATTTAAGATGCTTTTTTCATCTTTCCCCAACCAAAAAAAAAGTCAGGCTTACTGTTAAAAAGAGCAAGCCAACTTGAAAGCAGCTGTGCTGAGCCGAGCTCCTCGGTTTAGGTTTGTTTGGTATACGTTAGAGTCTCACTACCTTGGCCAATATAAATGTGAAAATATGCACTTTGTTCAGTTACTTGTCCACAGGATCACTGGCAGTCAGAGCACAGCTGCTGTAGAACCAATAAAGAAAAAAACAGAGAAAAATCAATTTCTCATGTAAACATGACATTTTGCAGTAGCAACACTCGTATTACCAGGAACTGGTCCTTGTTCCAAGGCAGTTGGAAATTTCTTTCTTTTTTTACTCTCCACTTCTGGTTGTTCATCACTTAGTCTATAGTCACCAGCAACAAACCACAACAGGCTCCAGCCTATTACAGATATATCTGAAGACGGTTCTACTTTACTTGGCAGGAAACCAATCTAGCATGGTCTAAATAAAAGATTGTCTGGGTTTAGGATAGCTGAAGCCCTACAAATCAGTGTGCAGCTCTTAGTTGGTCCTCTGTTCAACTGGAGGCTAGGCAGGCAAATCCTTATGCTAAACTAACCAGGCTGCATACGTGGCAAAGCCTAATTCTCTAGCTTAAATATCAGTAGTAGTACAGAATGGCTAAAGGTTGGGTGGGGGACAGAAGTCAAGAGTGACCGATGGCTGTATTTGCATTTATATCCTGAAACAAGCAAACCAGGACATACACATGAATGTAAATTCAAAACAAGAAGAGACAGCAGGTTTGTTTTTTCCCAGAGAAGGCGAGGGAAAAGGAAACAGTGGGTTGCAGGTGGCCGTAAGCGCTGGCCTGCCCAGCAAAGTGCATGTGCTGTCTCCGCTGGAGAATATTACACATGAACAGAGCACTCAGCTCTGTGGGAAGAGGCTGTTTAAGTGCGACATTCAGCAGACCGATTCCCATTTATTTTTCGGATGAACTGCCAGTTCAGGGTTTGGTGGCTTTGGGGTTTTTTGCATTTGGTTTTGGGGTTGGGGTTTTTTTTTGGCTTTTTAAAAATTTATTTTAACCTTCCTGCTTTTCAAAGCAGGATTGCTGGATGAGAGAGACAAGTTTGCAGGTCAGGATGCCCACAAGGTGTGTGAGGATTCAAAAGTCAAGAAAAGAAGCCCTCTCCCCAAAGGAAAACATGAAACAAGAACAACGCCTTCTTGAGAAGGTCAACGGCTTTCAAGGAAATACCACCCGCCTTCCCCCTTCGCTCAGCTCTCCCCCTTGCAAGAGCTGGGGTGGAGGTCGCGGTCCAGGAGTACGACCTAGACAGCATCAAGAGCATAACTAGCATGAGCGAGCAAGAAGGCTCCCTCCGCCCTTCGTCCAGGGGTGCAGTACCAAGCAGAAGGAAGACAAATGAAGGGCTGAGCAGTTTGTGGCCAAGGCGGGGTGGAGCAGGGTCCGCGGAGCTCACTCTCCTTCCTCCTTGATGCGTTGCTGTTTGTTGCGCCGGGCATCCATGTCGAAGTTGAAGTCGTTCCACTCGTCGCGGGGCGGGAAGGAAATGGTCTGCCGGAGTGTGAAGCGGACCGCATCGATGACCCGCTCCCCCCGGGTTTCGCTGGAGCCCACGCTGACGGTGGAGGCGCCGCTGGGGGTGCGCAGGAGGTGGGGAGGGGAGGAGAAGTCATGGAGCTGCCGGTGGTCCAGGATGCCCTTCCAGATGGCATGGCGGAACTGCTCCGGGATCTTGAGGCTCACCAGATCCTGCAAGGCAAGGTGGAGGGCTTAACAGGGCAATCCCTGGGCAAGCTGGGCTCCGGGAGTCGAAGCAGCCTCTGGGCCACCCTGCAAATGCCTATCAACCAACAAAGCTGCTAAAATCCAGGTGGCCATGATGCACTGTAGAAGACAAACCACTAATCCTGAAGGTGGTGTTTCACTTCTGAACAAGCATGTGTAGCCATGAGGCAGCAAGGACTAATGACACAAGGTCTGTTTTGAAGTTACACAAAACACACATTCATGCATAAGATATGGTGACCTAAAGCTAGATGTGTAACTGGACTGCATGGCCTCGAAGACAACCTCAGGAAGATCCGCTGGTTGTCTATGGTGGGGGATGCTGGGCTGCAGAAGTTCAACAGCTTTGAAAATGTACATGTTTATTTCAAAGCCTGCAAAATAATTTTAGAATCCAAGTCTGAGCTCCAGTATTCGAAGCTCTGGGTCTGACTCTATAGGAACTGCGTTCATTACCTGAACATAACCAAAATTTAAGAACAGACATGAAAACTTGGACTTTTAGGCCCCATCATCTCTGGCGCAGTACCCAAGGGTAGCATTACCTAAACTCTGGGAAATGTGATAACAGCTTCTGAAAAAATTAGCAACCAGCTTTGGTTAATTTGGGTCAGCTTTTCTAATTAAAGCAGCAGCAGAAGAAAGGCAGCCCACGCTAGGAAGCAAAAGCACCACAGCCTTGCAAAGTCTCGGGGCAAAAATATGGGACAGCCAGCTCTGAGGAGAGCAATGGCACAGGAGAGGAAGCAGCAACCCTGCAGCAAAAGCCATGCAAGAGAAAAAAAACCAGCTGGGCTGAGATGCCAGTGGCAAGGGAAGATCATTAAGGTAAGGCCAGAAAACAGAAGCAGGGAGGGAAAAACGCAGACGACTTCTGGACAGCCCACTTGTCTGCAGGCGAGTGAGGTGTTTCAGAGCAGTGTAAACTGAAACCAAGCCCTGCAGAATTAACAGGCATGTGGGCTGGGGCCACTTCGGGGGCTAAAATGCAGTGGTGGGGAAGGGGAGACACTCTTTGTGCCAGGCAAGGCAGTTACAATGCTGGCCCTGAGTCCAGCCTCTCTTCACCTCACAGTAAGTCTTCTCTGTGTGCAACAGCCTTAGATCAAACTAATCATATAAAAATAAAAATATACTGAGTCTGGATTTCTGACCTGTTCCTACAGCAGGGCCAAGAGTGCAAACAAAGGAAATGGTGAGGAGTTACTTACATCCATGGAGTAATGCTCAATCTGATAGATGGTGGTCAGCCCCTGGGTCGTGAAATAATCCACACAGGATGAGCAGCCCAACCTCGCTAAGAAGCTGCAGAGGAGGAAGGAAGGAAGGAGAGAGAAAAAAGGATCACCCTGGCTGCAACAGCCCAAACCACAGAAAAACCAAATACTCAGCCAACCTGCAGCAACAGGAAACGAAGCTTTCACCCTTGCCTTGACCTTCTCCAAGACATCCCAGGCCAGTAAGCCACATCGCTGCCACATCAAACAAATGAGGGAGTCCTTCAGCTTGGCTCCTAGCAGACAACCCTCGTGGCAGCACCTTGCCTTAGGCAAGAGCCAGTGCTACACAGCCTGGATCTTGGGGCAGGAAGGCTCACCTGGACCCTTGTGCCAGGTCACTTCACCCAGAAGGTGAGCCCGTGGCAGCCTTCTGCATGGATAGAGGGCTTCAGCAAGGTGGTGGGTCTGGGGCTCAGGCACATCATGCACAAAGTACTTCAAATCAGCACATTCCTCCCTAAGCGTAAAGGATTCCTCCTTTATGGGCAGCATCTTTCAACCTGTTTGACCTCATGGAGGGCAGAGGGGCTTCTGACCCCAGCCATGGCTTGCCGAGTGGCCAAAGGGGGGGGAAAAAAAAAAAGAAAAAAAGGAAAAAAGAAAAAAGAAATGTTTGCAAGACTGCCTGGCGCCCTCAGCTCCACCAGTCCAATAGATGCTGCATCCCTTGGCTTTCTTGCAGTCCTAACGTCCCTGTTTCAGCTGCTCAGAGGTGGGGGTTTAGAGGCTTGGTGCCCAGAGGGTGCCAGCCCCGGGACTGCCAAGACCCACTGGGATCCAGTGCTCCAGGAGAACGTGGCGAGTGACCCAGCAGGACCCTTCAGGCTCCCAACACGAGGCATCCGCTCCCTGCGGGTTGGAAATGTGCGCTGGGCAGCCTGCTCCCGCTCACCTGACGATGCTGCAGTCTGTGGGGTACGGAGGAGGAGGGGTGCAGTGGGACGTTGAAGGCATGGAGAGGGGAGGAGGCAGCGCCTGCGTGGGGCTGAGGCCATTCATGTCGCCGGTCATGGCCATGTGGGTGCCCATCATGGGAACTAGAGGAGAGAAGGAGGAGCACATTGTTACCCAGGTGTCCACAGACCCCCCACGTCGCCCCCAGCATGGCGCCAAGGGACAGCACCCGCAACCAAAGCAGCCTTAAATCCCCTGCAAAGGCCTGCACAGAGCGAACTCAACGGGGAATTTCAGGCAGGGCCACAATGATCGCACAAAGACCAGATGACAGACAGTCCTTCACGAGCTCTCCCCTCGCCAGAGCAACTGTCAGCAGCGCCACCGCGTCACCTTCCCTTACAAACAGGCTCAGTAGAAACCTAAGCAAGCCACAGGCATCTCGGCTTTCCCTGCTGCAGGAGAGGAGCGGGACAGAGCCAGCGGAGTAACCCAATACAGAAGCCAAACAGCTTTGTTTTCAGAGACACCGAGCACCCAAAGGGGATCAGCAACAGGTGTGGGCAAGAGCCCAGCGCTTTTGAAATTAAAGAAAACCCCAAGAAAACTCAGGCCCCAGAACTATGTCTGTCATCCTGGATTTACAGGGCTGCTGGGCACTCTTCAGCAGCCAGGAGGAAGCAGGTTACAGAGCTGCGAGATGCAGATACTTCCTTTGAAACTAAGAAGTGTCTTAATTGAACTGAGGGGAAAAAGTTTGCCAATGTTCACATCTCCTCTGCTGGGAAAGGAAGAAACCACAAGCTTTGAAAGATAGATGACAGTGCAGCCAGCCAGATCTGCAGCAAGAAGTAGCTCTTTTCACTCTTGTGAGGCTCAGAGCAGGATGCTGAAGCTTGGAGAAAGGAGGTGACTTGCCCCGTGGCACAGCAGTGAGCAATATTTGACTCTGCAGGTTCCCAGCTCTGCTACCACGAATGACTCCAGGCTCCCCGGACTAACACTAGCCACTTGGAGATGCCAAGTCTCCTTCCCTAGATTAGTGAGGTGCGCGCACAAAGCAGGAGAAGAAGGAGCGAGTGTTTCTTACTGTTGGTTCCCATGCCGTCGGGGATGGTGGTTGGGGTCAAGGCATTGCGCTGCTGGGGGTTGATTAGCTGGCTGACCGAGGGCAGCTTGTTCATGCTGTTCATTTTGCTGAGCGGTGGAGAGTTGGAGCCATAGGATGACTGCGACTGCATGGAGGTCCTGCAAACCAAGGAGATGTTAGGACAGGAATCACAGCGGTTGGTTGTTAAGAGTGCGCATCCAAGGGGCTACGTTTTTTGTTTGTGGCAGCGGTGAGCTACTGCTGGTGAAATCACTGACGCCATGGGAGCATCGCAGATAAAGATCATTGGAGAGAGAGTCAACAGGAAATAAGAAGTTTCCCAGATATTCTGGGCATTTAAAAAACAAATGGTGAAATACTGACAAAGGGAAGCTTCACTTTCAGTTCAAATTTTTTATTTAAGGAAAAGTTTTTAAGTAAGTTTTTCAGTTGAAGAGAACATATGCAAAGCCCGCAAACAGCTGCCAAAACTCAAAAATAGTATTTTTAAGTTAAGTTAAGCTCTCCTTGTGGTCAAAGGCTTTTCATAAGAACAAGAGCTGAGGAAGCTACCTCAAACCATCCTAACTACCCCTAAAACCTGACTGCAGAAACAATTTTCAGATCGGGTCACACTTATCACCTTGGTTTCTCCAAAATTCCTAGTTATTCATATAATCAGGTTGTTACCAGATGTACATGTAACAGCCAGAGGCTCTTTGCTCAAGACAGACTCCATACACCTTAGGGACCACTACTGAGATGGTCAGAGCTGCCTGGGACACCGACACGCAGCTTTTGCTGGTGTTAAGGAGAACTCTGTATCCAAACCCCACAGGCTGCTTGCAAAGACTATCAGATTCTTATTACCACTCGGCAACAGCACTAGCCTTCCTCAAGTCCAGACAGCCCCAAACTTCATCCAGCATATCTATGAACCGGGCCAGAGAAGCTTGCTGGCGAGCTCCCCTGCCCCAGCCCCGAGGGTCCCAGCTGCAATCCCGCCTCGTAAGCGATCCAGAGCACAAAGACCAGACTGCTTCTGAACAGTAGCCCAGTTCCCAGATCGAGTTACAGCTGCGGCATCCCATCTGGAGTGGGGTCTTATTTGGGATATGCAGAAAATGATCATTAAAGCGGGCCCAACAGCGCAATTGGCAGAGCATTGCCATGCCACAAGAGCGCGGGTTTTTCTTTCTCTGACACTAGGGGCATTTGCAAGACTGAGCAAAAGGTGCTGGGGAAGCGTGCACGCTTTCCAAACACGATGTACCCTCGCAAGCCATGCTTGCCCAACAGAGCAGAGGTCACCCGGCTTGCCACAGAGCCCGGCACTCGTTCGGCCATATCACAGTGACCCTGCGGTGAATGTGCAAGGGCATATTCCCATCTTATTTACCATTGGAAAACTTGTTTGTCCGGGTGTAACTGGTTACACCAATTCCTGGGAACTGGCTTTCCTTCTATGCAAAGGGACTAGTTATTACTTCAAATAAGCAAAGTGTAAAGGAAGAAAAGGCTTATTCCTAGATAATTTATTAAAACCTTCAGCACTCAAGGTCAAGTTTCATACAATTACATTGTCTCCAGCTTCCTGCACTTTTAAGACTCGCAGTGTTGGGTGGCAAAAACATCTATGCTGACAGGCTAGGGTATCTAAGGCCCTGAAGAAATGTTACCTAATTACACAATTACAGGAGGTACAGAAGGGTGTGAACTGTCCTTTGGCAGTGAAGATGCAGGACAAGATCCAGCAAACTTCATAGACTCAAGGAAGTGGAAAGCACAAGAAGCTTCACAAATTAATATTTATGATGGCAGCAACTCCCAAGGGGAAGTGAAACCGAGCCATGAAGTTCAGACCCAACTTTTCACGGTGAAGGGAATGATTCGGATCCGAGGCTTCAATTCACCAATTATAAAACTTTAGGCCAGCCATGAAATTCAAGTCAGGTTAACACCACCATTAACCTAAGAGGCTTCTGGATTTAGGACCAAAATGAATATTTCTACTTTACAGGTTCAGGCACTTATCCTAAATGAGCTTCAGCTGAAATTAATACACACCTGAGTAGTCTCTTAGGGCAAAATCTGCATGATATGCAAGTGAGGTCACCACATACACAGTGAAATTCCAAATCAAATCACAAAGATTTAAAAAAAAAAAAATTTTGTTGCATTGTTTAAGCTCAGGACAGATTTTAATGACTAGAAACTTTTTTTTTTTTTAATGGATGCCTGTTGCTACAAAACAAGATTCTCCAAAGAGGTCAGTAGTGGGCCTAACTTTGCCCTCTCCACCAGCAACTGTGATCTCAGCAAAGCTAGTTAGGAGACTACAAAATACTTTGGGGATTTAAAAAAAAAAAAAAAAAGCAGCAAGCAAACAGAGGCCAACCCAAAGCACCCTACACTATAGAAAACAAATGCATACTTTAACATATAGCTTAAGGATTCCATTATTATCTCATTCACACTCATAAGAATCAAGCTCAAGACAATCAAGCTCAAGTGAATAAAACAGGAAACGAAAGCATTTTTCTTCGTACCCATACTCGTTTCAACTAAACGATTCCATCACGTGAACAGATGTGTAAAAGGTCTAGAGAAAGCCATCTAGCCAAAGAAAAGTCCCAAGATAAACCAAGATGCAAAATTTTATTGAAACTTAATGTCACACATCAATATAGCAACAGCCTCAGAAACACAAGAAAATGTTTTTGGTATTAAACACACAGACTACATGGTGTTTGAGGATTCATTTAAAATGTATGGCTTTTTTCTCAATTTTTTTTTAAACAGGTATTATAAGAATGTCATGCACGGTGATTTTCATTAAAATTGTACTTACTATGTCTCAAGAAAGATTAGAAGTAGGAGCATTAACATTTCTTTGATATCAACGCCAGTGAAATGCATTTTAATATCAAGGTATAAGGACTTCAATTAAGAGATTATTAGACTTCTTGGAACAGTCTGATACGAAAGGCACTGAGTCACATTCTGCAACTGATTTTTCTCTCTTCAAGAGGCTATGTAATTATTTAGCCAATAACATTTGTAGTTATGCAAGCTCATATGAGGGCAGTCGCCTCTCATGCTTCAAGGCATATACTGATCATCTCAAGAGGTCAGGAAGGAACTTCCTTCTCCCACATATGAAGCACAGTTCAGTTCACAGATTACCTTGTATAATTCTGTGCTGTCCCAGCTCACTGGATATCAGCCCTTCACCAGAGGTAGGAAACTGCTTGGATAGACCAATTACCTGATGCAGCAGACAAGTCCTAGAGTCCTCATTCACATTAGATGAGCACACCGTCATGTAAGCAGCCTTAATGCAAATGACATCAAAGGTTCATTAAGTGCAAGAATAGGGCAGCTCAGGCTCAGAGAGTTTAAGATTTCACTCAAGCCCCTGTGCCTACACTTTGCTGTCCCTGAAGACCTAGAGCTAGTCACAATGCAGAGGGACCCAAGTGAAATCAAAGCTGTCCAGTTCTGGGCCCGCCTTTCCTTACAGTAGCCACAGCAAGTGCAGCAAGGATTACATCCCAAGTTCACACATGGTCAACGTGCCCATTGGCAATGTTTTTTCAAGTGAGGTTGCCCACTGGGCTGCATAACACTGGGATGTCATTGATGTAGTCTAGTAATGGCACACAAGTGACACAGAGGATGCTCAGTTGCACTCATCCACTTTGAAGGCCCGTGAAGCGGGACACTAGAAAGCAGAGAGATGCTCTCCACATCTCAAACAGCTGCTATTCTAAAGCAAGCAATAGTGCATCTTTCCAACCACACAAGTGGTTTGTAAGCTTGGTAACTAACTGGGAGCGTGGAAAGGAGGAGCCCTGATGGTCACTAGGCAGACAGCAACTACAGCACAGGGACAAGGGTGCCAATAATGACTCCCCTTAGATTTCAGGTATGGGAATTTCCCAAGGCAGGCAGTGGATGCAGTCTGCTCTCCAGGGAATGGAGCTATAATACAGGGAGTGGATAAACATCAACTAGTTGACATAGACTGATATGACCTGACTCAACTGATAAGGCCCAATTAGTCCACTTGGTTATTCCTTGAAAGGAAAAGGCTTACTCTTCTGAAGCCCCAGAGATGACAAAGAAGCAATCAAAAGACAGCTGGGAAAAAGTTTTCTCCTTTTATCTGCAAAGGACAGACTACGAAGCAACTCCAATTGCTTCCAGCTCCAGGTTATTTGACTAAACAAAAAAAAAAAATAACAAAAACAAAAAATCCACCTTCTAAGATAAGTAGCCAAAAAACCACAAAAAATCCACCTTCTAAGATAAGTAGCTGGAGAGCAAATCAAGTCACCATTAAGACCAGTTTCACAATCACCATCCTTTTATAGGTAAGGAGGACAAATCCGAAAGCCTTTCCAGAGGACAGTGGGATCCAAATAATTTACGTTCTTGTTTGGTGAAGTCCCAGGTGCTGTATTGCCCATCATGGTACAAGAGATTTCCTAGAGGTCAGACCAGATAATGAACTGGAGCATGAGCTGGAATCTCCTAGTGTGGGCTGTGGATGCCTTGTATCTCTGGTGGGCTGCCTCCTCAAACTTGGTGGTGGACAGGCCCTGGAACAGAGCTCTAGATACAGATTAGTGTGTCCCTGTTGCAGTATTTCTGTATTGCCATCCACAAGCAGGCAAGACCAAGATCCAGGAATAAACCTTCACTGGAAGGACAGACTGACAGTGCCAAGCATAATCCTGTGTCTGGGCTTCATTTTCAGTTCAGATTCCCACCTCTCACAGGGAAAGGAATAGTATTGCCTTTCTTCTTCCAAATAGAAAGGCACAGAGAAATAGTTATATGCTTTGTGATCTCGAAGTGCTTCCTGGAGTTTCCAGGCAAAGTAAAGAGGCACTTGATTTGGTTAGTTTTACACAAGGAGCGATGGTAGAGCTGCAACTGTATGAAATAGTCACTGCTAGTATTTAATTAGTTATTATTTATACTTAATCACAATTTTGGGGGCTCTTGTCCATCAGCCCTCCCCCACACTGCTATGGTACCACAAGTCTTGCTAAGACAACGAAGGAGATATCCTAGAGATGGGATATGGCTCTCAAAGTACGAGTCATCACCTGCTCAGATCACAGCTCTGCTGCCTGGAAGCAGATGATGT